GATATGGAGTGTCTAGAGAGGTTACAACGAATAGCAACCAGAATGGTCACTGGAGAGATAGGGAAGAGCTACTCGCAGCGTCTGAAGGACCTGAATCTTTTCTCGCTGTCACGCCGAAGGACCAGGAACGTTTTGATAGAAACCTTCATGATAGTTAAGGGGTTGTCCGGCATAGAACTAAGCAGCCTCTTCATTCCTGCACCAGAGTGGGACACTAGAGATCATAACCTTAAGCTGCAAAGAGAGCACTCCAGGTTGGAGCTGAGGGCCAGGTTCTTCACAAATCGGGTGGTACCCTTGTGGAACAGATTGCCGGAAAATGTTGTAAGCGGCTCAACAGTTGTAGCCTTCAAAAAGGCCTTGGCTCTGTGCTGGGGTGTGGTTTTCCCGGAGTTGGCCACTTGACGGACGATAAAGGAAAAAGGTGAGTAGTTCCTATATGGATGTATTTCATTTTTACATATCTGGTGGATGAGAACTGAAGTCTTGACCTTGACCTGCGCTACACCAAGTTGTATCCAAGTATCCAAGTATCCAAGTTATATCATCGTGGAAGATATATTTCTGTATGTTTACTTCCTCCTGTGGATTTACTGTGTAATTATGTGCTGCAAGGACACGAAGAGAAACTCTCCGTGGCCAAAGTGCAAGAAGATCATCGGCCCTCGCGCGAAGGCCTATTACGTGATATGTGTCAATGTGAGCGCCATGTTACATGTTCTAGAGTACCACCAGAGATGTATGCAGCCCTCCAGTCGTGTGATTCCCAAATTTGAAGTTTGTATGTGACGATTGCCTCCCTACATTTCGCACACCGAATTTAAGCAGAGCAATGTTGCCCTTGCCGACCGCAAGTGGGCTGGAGGAGTGTGCGCAGCAGTCCGCATCAGCCGAGGCACCGCCAACTGATACCGCCGATGAGCAGAGACGACCGAGACGCAGGCGTGCAACCAACAACGAGCGACCAACCACGAGTGAGAGGCTCGCAGCGACAGCGATCGAGCCTGGATCCCTTGCGCCGATTCAAACACTGCCGGAGCAACCAGTTTCGTTGTTCAACGCCAACAACAGATCGTACGCCACGCATGCCCCAACAGTGCTGTGACCAGCGTCACCGAACGCCCTGTGACCCAGCCGGCATCCCGAGGGCCCCCCGACCCCAGGCCAGTCCCCTGACCGGCCGTTGCAGGAGACCTGCGACCGGAACGCCCCTCAAGGCAGCAATGCTTCCTGGCTGTCAATATGCCGGAGTCCACGGAACCCATGGCGGAAGCCCGGCTTAACGCGGACCTATCCTTCCTTCGAGGAGTCCTGGCCAGAATCTTCTTCCCTGGCGAGGAAAAACAAGCCCAGGCGATACGAGTTAAGGCAGCTCCCAGGCTAGAAGCCAACCTAGAGGGCAGCGCCCCTCGTCCACTGAAATTCGTCCTCGGATCGATGGAGGAAACTAAGTCTGTATTCCAGCGTGCCTTCCACCTGAAAGAGGAGCCCGTCAGGCTACTACGCGACCTCGACGCGGACGAACGGCAGAAGCTGAGGCAGGAATTAGCCGAGATCCATGAGCGTCGAGCAAGTGGTGAACAAGATCTCTTCATCCGGGATTTTCTGGTCCAGAGGAGGCGTCCACATTTCCGGTGGAGCCCTCTTGCAATACCGAACAGAGAGTCTCCCCCGGCGTAAACTGGGAGGACGTGCCGTCCGCTGCCATCGACAGGCGCAGCCGCGCGTGAATAGTTTCCGCCAATGTACGTAGTGGTTTGAACAAACGAGACGACTTGGTCTTCGCCTTCACCGAAACCTGGCTCACCCTCGACGTTCTTGACTCTGAGGTCCCGCTCCCGGGGTATGCGTCATTCCGTTCGGACCGCGCACAACCAAGGATGAGTAAGGGCGTCATGCTGTTTATTCGCGAAAGTGTACCGGTTACTCATCTGTACAGCTACGCGAATCCTGACGGTCAGGGAGAAGCGCTGTGGTTCAAAACCAAACTGTGCTGCAACGGCTACACGACGATAGCAGTCTGCTACAGACCACCAGCGATAGCCCTGGTGGGCATCCTGGACGACATGCGGCGATAAGCCGGCGACGGCCACTGTTTGATTTTGGGTGAGTTCAATGTGTCCGTAATCGATTGGCATGAAAATCACTGCCTACCGGGAGCGGACCAATTCTCCAGAGACCTCCTCAAAGTAGCGAACCAGTTGGCTCTGCATCAGCACTCCTGCTAGCCCACCAGGACCAACGATTCTGCCCAGTCAGTCCTAGATCTGGTATTATCCCCTCGAACATCGGACGTCAACATCATTGACCACCTCCCGCCACTCGGTTTGAGCGATCATTCGACCCTGTTGGTGCACTGGCGACGTGGAGCTCCGTATCGCTCTCGACCACATTCCGGACCCAATGTCTGGAAAGCTGTTATGTCTTGTGTCAAGGCGATGTGATCGACACGTACGCCTCTTGTCTAGGCCCCAACAACTGGAGAAAGAACACTACCGAGAAAACGACAGTCAGAGAGTATTTTTGATCACGAAACAACAAGCAAATATATGTGGTCAGTTGGACGTACGCGAGCATACGTGGTGGCGCGCCAATCAGATCGTGACCTTGACACTCAGGTTGATCGACCGAACGACAGCTATTTGATTCACCTTAGTCATCCAATCAGGAGTCGATTCGGCTTGGGCGTCACGAGCGCACTTGTGGTGTGACGCGCGTCGCTGCGTGACAGGACGGATTTTGTGCGCTCCGTCCTAACACCTCCTCTTTTGAGATGTACTTTCGCAATCTGGGGTTGATTTGCAGTCTTGTGGTTTGCGTCCGTTTCCTGCTTGTACGTCGTATTGGTAAAAGCTGTGATTGTTGCTGTACTTCACTTGGCTGTGATGCTCTTGGCAAACTGAAGGTGTCCAATAACATGTCGAAGGGTAGTTGTGGACTTAGAGTCCTTTCTTCTTGGCATTTCGTTGGCCTTAATTGATTTGCGTGACGCAACCAAATTTTGGACTGTGTTTGTACCTCATACAATACAGCTCCACGTCTTCTCAGAATTCTGCCAGTTTCCCAGTGAGAATCGTCTTTTCCAAGGCATCGTGCTAACACTGCTTGACCTGGGGCAAAGGAACGCTCTAAGACTCCGTGTCGACGATTGAACTGTTCTTCCATTTTTCGGTTCCTTTCAGTGTTGTAGGTGGTTGGGCGCAACAGGTCAAACGGCATTCTTTACTTTCGGTTCATCAATGCCTCTGCTGGGAAAACTCCTTTTGGTGAGTTCGGAGTTGGAGTACATCGATAAAGGAACAGAAACCTTGCGATGACTTCTACGGTTGCTTCCTCTCCTTTTGATTTATGGAGTGCCCGCTTGAAGGTCTCCACATACCTCTCTACTTGGTCAGTTGGTTGCGGAAGATAAGGCGGGGAGTGTATGTGGCTAATNTAAGTTATGCCATAACCCGCTCCCAGCATTCCTATCAAGTAGCTAACTGTTTCGTGGTAACTTATCTTTCACAAAATTGGAATTGTCATTTGTGTTTCTGGTTCCGTGTGCACTTGTTCAACGCTTGTCGAATAATTCATCAAGCAACATCTTGATGCACCACACACATCATTCACATGAATCATTTCTCATGTTTGATCCACGCCAATAACATGTCGAAGGGTAGATGTGGACTTTGAGTCCTTTCTTCGTGGCATTTCGTTGCCTTTAATTGATTTGAGTGACGCAACCAATTTTTGGACTGTACTTGTACCTCATACAATACAGCTTCACGTCTTCTCAGAATCTTGCCAGTTTCCCAGCGAGAATCGTCTTTTCCATAGCATCGTGCCAACACTTCTTGACCTGGGGCAAAGGAACGTTGTAAGGCTCCGTGTCGACGATTGAACTGTTCTTTCATTTTTCGATTCCTTTCAGTATTGTAGGTGGTTGGGTNAAGAACAGAAACCTTGCGATGAAATCTTCGGTTGCTCCCTCCCCTTTTGATTTCTGGAGTGCCCGCTTGAAGGAATCCACAAATCTCTCCGCTTGGCCATTTGATTGCGGATGATAAGGCGGGGAGTGTGCGTGGGTGATAACATTCCGCTTGCAGAATTCTTTGAATTGTTGTGATGTGAACTGAGTGCCGTTGTCGCTTACTAGTGTTTCAGGGACACCAAAACGACTGAAAGCTGCCGGACGTTTTCGATTGTTGAGGATGGCATAGGGCTATCCACGAGGAAAATCTCGGGCCATTTGCTGAAGGCATCAATAGCGATAAGGTAAGAACGACCATTGATCGGTCCTGCAAAGTCAACATGAATACGTGACCAGGGTTTGTCAAGAATTGGTCAACTGGAAAGCTTGTTTTTACTGGCATCTTAAACGCAAAGGCGTATTGATGAGAGTTTTGGACGATTTCTTCCAGTTGTTTATCGATGAACGGCCAATAGACGTAACTACGGACAAGTGACTTCATGCGGTTGATTCCCGGGTGTCCGGTGTGGAATTCTTGGAGCACTCTTTTCTGTAGCGCCTTTGGAATCACAACTCTTTCAGCGAATAGAATGCAACCGTTCACAATCA